TTGTTGAAGCCCAGACACAAAACCAACTGATAATACATTCACAATATCTAGAAATAACCACTTCTTCAGTAAATGTAGGTCATTCGATAAAAATAAAATATTCAACATATTTTTTGACGAAGTTGCTGAAATCCTTCGCTTTAAAAATATTCAGTTTGATAAGTTTTACATTATTAATATTTTACCACTTTGAGAGAGTTGAAACAACTTCAGTTATCAATCGCTTGCTACATAACATACGGCTTTAACTGAAATATTTGCTAGGTTTCATAACTATCAAAACGTTACCTTCACACCACTGGTATTTGGTAGAAATAAACCTGAACAAACACATCTCGATACAGAGGGAACAACTGACATTTTTATTATTACTACAGTTGTATGAGGTCATTGTGTAGTGATGATTACACAAGTATATTCCATTTAAGTAAAAATTTTATTCTATTTGTAATTGTCCCCCCCCCTGTAACTGAGTGGTAAGCTCAAGTTCACCACAGATCGATTCTCGTGGTTAACACAGAGCAGATAGCTCAGTGAACAACTTTACATTACAAAAACACACACACACACTCCAGAGTTTTGGAATGATTAGATTTACAAAATCATAAATAATATTCAACGTTAAAACTGGTACGCAATTAAAAACATTTTATTAAGGCCTATCTATGCCCTTCAAAAAGTTGACGACTCTACATGTTTCGACGTTACAACGTCATCTTCAGGAGTGAATTACAAGACAATGTTAAAGTATTTATAATTTGTTAGTAGGTCAATGTGACCTGTATGCTATTTTACATAAATTCACGCTAAACCACTCAAAGGAGATCAATCTATATTCTTGATTCGCCATACCTTTAATCTATTTAATACTACATGATATTTTTATGTTTTATTATTTCTAAGGATTCACGAATATTATTACCTATTATACTTTAGGTTGAGCTAATATTACAGTTTTTTCCCATAATATTGTGTGTTGTGTTTCCTGTACATGTTCTGCTATGGGTGAATTTTCAGTTTTTTTACATATCCCTTATGCTCATTTAAACGGTATTTTAAATTACGTTTTGTCTGACCAATGTACATACTTCCACATTCACATTCTAATATTAGCTCAACCTTAAAGTATAATAGGTAATAATATTCATGAATCCTTAGAAATAATAAAACATAAAAATATCATGTAGTATTAAATAGATTAAAGGTATGGCGAATCAAGAATATAGATTGATCTCCTTTGAATGGTTTAACGTGAATTTATGTAAAATAGCATACAGGTCACATTGACCTACTAACAAATTATAAATACTTTAACATTGTCTTGTAATTCACTCCTGAAGATGACGTTGTAACGTCGAAACATGTAGATTCGTCAACTTTTTGAAGGCCATAGATTAGGCCTAAATAAAATGTTTTTAATTGCGTACCAGTTTTAACGTTGAATATTATTTATGATTTTAACTTTTTAAACAAGTGCCAAAATAAAATAATGATTAGATTTACTATCCAAAGTACGTCTAGTAACTAGTAGGTTGGCCTTTATCTGTCAGAGATAATTGTTTTGTCCTCTATATAGATTTTGAATCATATCTCGAGCCCCAGCTATCTAGTTCTCAGACAAGAAATGTGAAAGGTGGATTACGGAAACCTTCATTTATGGTGTGTAAAGCTACTGAAAATATCATACTCGGTAACTGGTTCAATAAATGAGTCATTTTTTAAATTCATGCTAACTGGATAAAGTGCCTAATTCAGTATTATGTGGCCGTGGCACAGTATCGACGAAATTATATCCCCCCCCTTATCATGTATTTAGTTTCAGAAAATTGGGTTGTTAATCAGGTCTACTTTCTTTTAACTCATCCTATATATTCACATTTATCAAAATCACGGTAGTAAAACGATCAATAACTGACACAGTTACCAAGCTAATTAAAACTCCAAACGCGAACACTCATCTTTTCCACATTGTTGGTTACCGTATCATTTAGTTTCACTGACGTGCGTTTTGTAGGCTTACGGGATACTTCTAACTGTAAAAAAAACAGTTCAGGAAATTACAGTGTGTGATCAACCTGTTCAAGACATAGATGCGAGAAAAACTAGCCATAACGTAAGAAGACGAAAATGGAAACATTATCTTCGTCAATAAAGCTGAAGAGAAGGGCCTTCTTATATTGAATAAATCTCCAGGTGGTAAGCATGAACAACAGTTCATTACAATATAGTCCAACTTGGAAAAACAGGCTTGTAGGCCTAACGTCAGAAAGCTTCCTTGAAGCACGAGAGCGTGTGACTAAACGTCACTTACAACGAAAACAAGAGCTAGAAGCTAAAGTGCGAGAAGAAGAAGAACGACGATACAATCTCGGCGTGAGACTAGGGGAGTCACATACTCGAGTTCCGGTGAGCCCAATATTTTTAGAATTAACGATGCTAAATCTAACAGACTTTTATTTTGCATAATTTTATTTAAATCACGTTTGTATTCCCACTATTTAAATTTGTCCTCTCCAGAGCCGAACATATCAGAAAGTAACTCACTGTATGTTATGCTTTATTTGATAATAAATGACATTCAGTAGTATTATTTACCTATTTTCTTTGTTGTTATTAAGGGACATCTACCCCCTCTACTAAAGAATGATGTTACAATTGGAAGGCACAACAAAGAGAAGTCTCGCATTTTTGAAGATTTTGTAAAATATCAAAAGAATCCAAGAGACAATAAACTGTGAGCTCTTTATTCTGATGTTTTGTATATATGATTTTCATTGTACTGAGAGGTGTGTGTGTATATGTATCGTAATTAACAGAAATGTATCTGTTAGCTTAGTATTTGTTAAAGAACAAAACTGTGTAAACTGTTTTAATAAGCATTCAGATAATTCCAATTTTCAAGAAAACGTAAGTTTTGGGTTTGTTTGTTTGTTATGGATTTCAGGCTGAGCTAGCCGTCCCTAATTTAGCAGTGTAAAACTAGAGGGAAGGCAGCTAGTCATCACCACCCACCGCCAACTCTTGG